AAGTTACAAATCAGATTCCAATAGCCATTTTTGGTATCGGTACTCAAGGGAGTATCGATACCCAAGGTAGAGTATATATACTTTCAGTAGGGGTATCGATACTAAGATATTTTTCAAAACATCAAACCTAGTTTTGGTATCGATACTCAGGCTAGTATCGATACCCCATCACTAGAGTATCGATACTCAGCCAAGAGTATCGATACTACATTTCCCAAATCAGCCATATCAGTTAGTAGGTATCGATACCAAAAGGTGGGTATCGATACTCAGGGTTTAGTATCGAATACTGAAGGGATAGTATCACTACTAGCGGATAGTTTTGGACAAGTAATATAAAGATTAAGGGATTTGGCTCGAGGGGACTAATAACATCAGAATATCAGTAAATAAAACTACAAGTGAGAACAATAATTAATATCAGAACAGCTAGAAATAGTAACATCTAGGATTACATAAAACTAACCTTGTTTGATACTTGGGAAACAACCAGGACACCCGAGTCTCTTTAGCAGAACATGATAGTCAGTTGGATATCCAGTCAGTTCCAAGGCACTTCAGTAGCTGACTTGGTGCAGATGGACCAAGACTAGATGTAGTAAGTTAGTGGGTATACATTTACGATGCAGCTCCAGACCTCACCCTAGATACCTGAGGGTATCTCAGAAAGGCTAGAGGAGTATGTGAGCGTCGAGATGCAGAACCCTCAACTACACCATGATGCCTACTTCAACATGTTAGATCAGTATTAGCATGTCTTCATACCTATGCCACTTGCATTCTCATCTAGTGAATGTATTTAGTATAGTACAGTTATTAGCGTGGCACTGAACTCGTAAGTTCAGCATTCGGAATGTGTTTTCGTGTGTAGGTTCATAGGTAACTAGTAGCGAAGCATTATCGTTGAAAACAGTTCCAGACCTACTGAGGCATTTAGAGTGCGTCTTGAGTTATTCTTAGAGGGCATATACTCTTTATAGACCCTTAGGTATTCCATCGTAACTCTTTTAATTTAAACTCAGTATTGTACTATTTTGGTTATATTTTGGGAGCTCTCTATATTTTGTAAACTCATATTATTATCATGTTTTATTTTATTTACTATGGATAGATTTTATCAATTGGTTTTAATCATATATTTTAAAGAAAGTTTTTGGTTAGTCACTTTAGCGGTCCCGTGTGTCATCGTAATCCATGAATCTTTGGGTCGAACTAGATTAGGGTGCTACAGTTTATGGATGGTTAATAGTTTTGATTAGCCAAAATGGTCGGTTAACTGTTATAATCCGGTTATGAAAATTTTGTAACCGTAACCTAATTGTTAAAATGGGTTCACTGCTAACGGTTAATCGTTATTAACAGTTTGGTTACAGGTTTATCGTAGGTTAACCTATTATGATTATCATTCAAATTTATTTTTATAATTCATGCTACAAAAAATGTTTAACACTTAACATACACTAACACCGGTGTAAGTGAATAAAAAAAAGTGCAGCACTTAACACATACTTACACTGATGTAAGTGAATAAAATAAAAGGGTGTAGCACTTAACACATACTTACACTGGTGTAAATATATACATCTCCCAATATCTTAGTAACTAACAATAAACACATAATTATATTGGTGTAAATATGTTTCTATATTTTCAAAGAAATAAAAAATATATATTAAGTTATTTATATACAAATTTTATTAAAAATATATATATAAATTATGTACATCTCCCAATATCTTAGTACCTAAAAATAAACACATAATTATATTGGTGTATGTATGTGTAATACCTGATTTTTGTCCGGCCTAGTTTTCTTTTCCAAAGCCCAAACATTTTATTGAAGTAGATTTCGAAGCCAAAGACATCAACCGAACTGCAACAAATTTTCAAGCAAGATCCAAATATTTTTAGGACATTATATCTTCTTGAGATAGAACCTCCTTTCCGTCATCTTTCTAATGCATTTTGAAACACCTCAATCGTACATCAGAAACTCAAGATATGCTAATTTTAGCAAAGATAGTGCATGCAGAAAATTAGATACGGGTCCAATACGGGAATTTTTAATTTATTTCAAAATTTCAATTATTTTATTGATTATTTGTGAATAAATTCAGCTCTGTACTTTCCTTAATTTATTTAGGGTAATTTAGTATATTTCATTATGCTAATATTACTTTTCTTAATTAATGTATTTAACATTAATGAAAAGATTTTAGGGTTTTTTGCTATTAGGATTTTTCGGAACCTATAAATAGGCACTCTTATTTTTGAAATGGGGGGAGACGATAACCGGAAAAATACAAGCAATAAAAGAAAAACTTTGACGAAAGGCAATTCGTTCGCTTTATTTTTGTTTTTTCACTTTGTTCAATTTCGATCTTGTTTTTATTATCTTCTTTTTTTAAATTTTTTTTAGGAGAAAAACCAAAGAACAAGGAAAAAAGGTCTTTTAAAGTAACCTTTATAGATTTATCCTTACTTGAGCTTTATTAGTGAAAACCGATAATCTTTCCATTTTTTTACCTTTATTTTTTTCTTTTTATTTCAATCGATCACGTCCTTGATTTTACTTAAAAACTCCGTGGGACTAGAGAAAACCGAGGAATGAAGAACAAAGGCTTTTAAATCATCTTTATAGATTTATCATTCCTTGAGGTTTTTCGATGAAAATTAATGGTGGAACTTAAATGATTATTTATTTATTTATTTTGATCGAATTTTAATTTTTTTGGATTTTATATTCGATTAAATGACATGATCTGTTACCCTTAGAGGATTCACACTCTTTAAACGGGTAGGAGATATTTATGATCATAGTCCCTCGAAGCGTCCTTAAAATATCATTTTGATCCTTTTCTTTATATCTTAGTTTGTTTTAATTTGAATCTTTGATTTTGTTTTGTTTTATTCTAACCCCTTTGCTACTTTTAGTTTAATTTTTTGTTTTAATTTAAATCATAGAGTAGTTATTGTTTTACATTTCATAAATTTATGCGGGATTTCTTTTTGGTTTATTTCTTTCCTTTATTTTCTTTTTAAGTAATTTCTGTTTAATTTTAATGTTTTGTTTGGTTGCCGTATTATACATACATAACTCATGCATTTGTTCGTTTCCTGTTTTCTATTATGCTATGTTTTTTTTTTTTATTATGTTTCAATTCATGCCATGTTTTATTTTATTGTCATTTTAATTTAATTATTTTATTGTTAATTTTTTATTGTATGCTATCTGTTTTGATTTTGACACTTTGTTTTAATTTGTTAATTGCTCTACTTATTATGTTTTAATACAATTTGTCTTATTCTGATTCTTTGATTTTGATTTGTTTCTTTACTTTATAATTCATTTAGTTTCAACATTTTCCTTTTTTTCAGATTTCAAGTTTAGTCGAAATTATTTTGTTTAAATCACATTATTTATCATTTATATAATGGTACCCGTGACTCGTCTAGCTCATGTGTGCAGATCATATCCAAGTTTTCTCTCTCTTTATTTTATAAACCACTTAACTTATTTTATTTTAGAATAACCAATTCGTCATGGTAAATAATTTGAATCGAATTTAATTTTTTTATTTAAAGTTATTAATTTTCGTAATTAAAATGAACGGATAATCTTGTGGTACTGAAAGAGCGATTTGGGGGTGCTCATCATTTCCCGATCGTAAATGACTCCCAAATTCGACAAAATCACTGGTAAGACGCAGATTCGGTAAACAGACAAAATCAAGGTGTCCGATCCACCAAACTCCAAAGTGATCAGTAGCGACTCCATCATAATTCCAAGCAAAGGTGCGAACACAGGACCACCTGAAGGACCGTTACGACAGTATGTTTCTATATTTTCAAAGTAATAAATATATATATATATATATATATATATATATATATATATATATATTAAGCTATTTGTATACAAATTTTATTAAATATATCTATATATATTATAAATAATAAAAAATTATATTAAATTATTTGTGTAAAAATAAGAAAATAGAAATATAATTATAAATTTAATTTATTAACGGTTAACCATTTATCAAAATTCGTAACCGTTAACAATCATTTTTAGTTAACCGAAACATTTTAGTATTAACAGTTTGGTTAATTAATCTGTTAAATATAACGGTTATATCGATTAACGGTTACGAGTTTTTTTTTTTTTTGCACACTATAGTGGACATTAGCTTTTTCTAAAGCTGATTACTAATTGAATATAATAAAAAATTTTGATGATTATGTGATAAGTTAATATATAAATATGTAATTACTGGTAAAAAAAAGTAAAAAATAATTTAATATATCGTTAATTTTTTTGTAATTTTTTTATTTAATATATCGCAAACATAATGACAACAAATTATAATATAATTCTGCTTATAAAATAGTTCTTTTACGTTGTTAGTAAAAAAAATGTCTTTGATTAATGATATGATATTTACATAATTAAAACAATAAAATAAATATTCTTATTATAACATATAAAATAATGATTATTTAATCTCAGATAATATTATTCGAACATGAATCATCTAAAAAACATTCAAAACATAAACCTTTTATTGCCTGAACATTTATTTTTTTTTTCTCTCGAAATCAAAGAAATTTAAACCAAATTTTTAATTTTACCTTGGATCAACCCACAATCTTCAACGTTTAATTAACCTAAAAATTGAGATATATTACTTTTCATCGATATATCCATCATTCGAATTTGATTAAAAATATGGATGTGAGAAGAAAGTTTTAGGAGTCTCTTTGCATAAACTTACCAAAAAATGAACTTCATTAAAGACTTATAATAAAGTAAAATTTGATAGTTTAATGATAAAATTAAAAAATTTAAAAGTTGATGAAATAGGATCTGAAAATCAAATGACTATATGCGTAGTTTACCCAAAAGAAAATTTGCGTTTACTCTCTTCAAAATCAATATAGTGGTAAAATTATACTTTAATCGACACAAAAGAGTGCGTTCATTTTGACCCTGAAGGAAATTTCCAGCTTAGCCCCGGTTCCAAAGTTCTGGTTGTTGGGGTCTTCAGTTTCCACGCCACACCTCTCTAGTGGAGCTAAAAGCAAGAGGATTAATTATTCTTAGTTTCGCCAAGTTTTTGGGTTGGTAGTTTGGAGTGGACGGACGGCACTGGAATTTTCATCTCCGGTGGTCTCCTTGTTCTCCCTCGTCTGCTCTCAGGTCATCTCACTTTAAAGAGATCGAGATGGAAGTTATTGTGTCAAGTGTTGCTGATGCTGCGCTCTCCGCTTGCTTCCGCTCCCTATGCGAAACTCTGTCGTCCCCCGACTTCCTCAAATTCACACGCGACGAGCAGCTCGCAGCCGAAATGAACAAGTGGCAGAAGCTCTTGCGTCAAATGAATGCCTCGCTCGAGGATGCCGAAGAGAAGCAAATCACGAGCCTTGCCGTCGAACACTGGCTCGACGAATTACAGCATGTTGCTTTTGATGTCGAGGATGTCGTCGACGACCTCGCCACCGAGACTTTGCGGCGGAAATTAACGGAGCACACTCGGCAGCCTTCGGCAAGCACTAATAAGGTATGGAAGTTTATCGTCCCATCGTGTTTCCGTGCTATCAATATGAATATTATTAAGTTTGATGCCGAGATCAAACCGAAAATACAAGAAATTACTGCAAGATTGGATGAGTTGGTGGTACAAAAGAGGATTTTGAAGTTAGAAGAGATTGTTAAAGGTGGGTCTGAGAAGGTGCTTCAGAGAGTCACTACTTCTCTTGTTGATGAGTCTCGTGTTTATGGTAGGGAAAGTGATGCAGATGCCGTTGTGAACTTGTTGATGATGGATGGCGGAGAAATTGGTGAAGGCAAAATCGGTGTGGTTTCGATTTTAGGTATGGGAGGGTTAGGGAAAACTACTCTTGCTCAGTTAGTTTACAAGGATGTTCGAATCGAGGCTTCATTCGAGTTGAGAGCCTGGGTGTGTGTCTCCGAGGAATTCGATGTTCTTAAGGTGACAAAGACCTTGATTCATGCTGTTGCTTCCGATATCGATGAGTCGAAGGATTGGAATTCACTTCAAGTGCAGCTCGAGGAGGAGTTGCGGGGAAGAAAATTTCTGATTGTTTTAGATGGCATGTGGAATGAGAATTATGACCATTGGGATCTTCTATGCAGACCCTTTGCTGCAGGGGCTGCCGGGAGTAAAATACTTGTCACGACTCGGAATGAATCGGTTGCGGCTAGCTGTGGGGGATGCCGGCACCATTTGAAGAAACTGTCGAATGATGATTGTCTCTTGATATTAACCTGTCATGCTCTCAGAGCCAAGAATTTCGATGAATACTTGAATTTAAAAGCCGTTGGCGAGCGGATAGTGGAAAGGTGCAAAGGGTTGCCACTTGCCGCTAAGACCTTGGGAGGACTACTTAGGACTAAAGTGAATCAGGGTGAATGGGAGGACATTCTGACGAGCAAGATATGGGATTTGCCTGACAAAAGAACTGGCATAATGCCGGCTCTGAGATTGAGCTACCTTCATCTTCCTTCCCTTTTGAAACGATGCTTTGCTTATTGCGCCATATTCCCAAAGGATAACGAATTCGACAAGGACGAGCTGGTTCTCTTGTGGATGGCGGAGGGTTTCTTACAACAGCCAAGAGGAGGTGCACGAATGGAGGATTTAGGTTCAAAATGTTTTAACGAGTTACTCTCGCGATCGTTTTTCCAACAATCGAGCAGCAACCAAACGCAATTTGTGTGCATGACCTCATAAATGACTTGGCTAAATCCGTTTCCAGAGATATATGCTTTAATCTCGAGGACATGGATATGCTTGAGGGTGATAAGTTATGCATCGCTGTTGAAAGGATTCGTTATTTAGCATTCACTCGTAAACAATACGATGTCGCAAAAAGATTCGAAGTCCTCTGTCAGACGAAGAAATTGAGAACGTTGGCTGCATTACCTACTTGTATGCCGACTTGGGGAGCTTGTTGCTATTTGAGTGCTGATGTCTTGCAGAATATGCTGTCAAGGTTGAGATGCTTAAGAGTACTATGTCTGAGTGGTTATTCCATTGGTGAGCTACCGAATTCCATCGGTCATTTGAAGCAATTATGCTACCTGAACTTGTCTCGCAGTCGAATTAAACAGTTACCTCAATCTGCGGGTTCGCTTATCAACTTGCAAATGTTGAAGTTGCACGGCTGCACAGAACTTACTAATTTGCCACGAGTTATCGAAAATCTGGTGAACCTTCATGTTCTTGATCTTGCCGGTACTAGTAATTTACAGGATATGCCGTTTAAGATCGGAAAATTGAAGAATCTTCAGATTTTATCCAAATTAATTGTTGGCAAGGGCATTGGATCTGCTGTTAGTGAATTGAGGGGCTTGTTGAATTTGCGGGGGAAGCTTTCCATTTCGGGGTTGGAAAATGTTGCAGATTTCCGAGATGCTAGCAATGGGAACCTCAAGGACAAGGATGGCTTAACCGAGTTGGATCTGCAATGGAGTGACGAGTCCCTTAATTCTGAAAACGAGGAAGGTCAAATGCATGTTCTCGAAAGTCTGATGCCTGGTAAGAATATGGAAAAACTGAGAATTCTGTTCTATGGTGGTAAAATGTTTCCTTCTTGGTTAGGTGATCCTTCATTGACTAACATAGTGTGGTTAGAACTCCTTAATTGCAGAAACAGCATATTACTTCCATCACTTGGGAGATTACCCTCACTAAAAATATTGTCCATAGTAGGAATGGATAGAGTCCAGAAGGTGGATTTGACGTTTTATGGACATGGTTTTACATGTGTTAATCCTTTTCCATTTTTTGGAAATTCTACGATTTAAGGATATGTTGGAATGACGTGCTGGTCTTCTCCTAGCCGAGCTAATGAAGACTCGGGGGAAGAATTCCCTTGTCTCCGCGAGCTCACGGTAGAGAATTGTCCCAAGTTGATTGGAAAGTTACCTGGTCGTCTTCTTTCTCTCGTGAAACTTGTAATTAAGCATTGCCCGAAATTAGAATCTTCATCGATGAGTTTACCGTCTCTTAACGAGTTAAATGTAGAAGATTCCAATGAAGAGTTGCTGGGTAGTGTAAACACCAATTTTTCATTTTACTTAAATTATTATTAAAATTATTATTATTATTATTAAATATTATTATTATATATATATATATTATATTATTATTAAATAATTATTATTTATAAATAGGCCCAATGAAAACTGGACCGGCCCAGTTACAAACAAAACAGAACCGGCCCAGACCAACCAGAAACCCTAAAACATTTAGAGTTTCAGCTAGGATTTCTAAACCCTAGCTCCAACCGCCGCCTCAAGCTTCCAGAAGCCACAGCCGCCGCTCATTGCCATCTCCACGTTGACGCTTCAGCTATCGCCACGCCTCGCCACAGAGGATTCCAGAAGGCCAGCTGCCCCCCCCCCCACACGTCGCGGCTATGGGGTGAGTCGCCACATAGCTCGGTGACTCACTGAACTTCCCCCTCTGGACCGGTCCGAGCATGGCTCCGTGGTGGCTATAAAAGCCACCGGATCCTGCAAAACGAAAAAAAAGAGGACAACAAACAGAAACGGAAAAACAGAGAGCAAGAGTCCACAAAAAAACAACAAGCAACAACCACACAACCAGCAGCAAAACCAAAACGAAGAAAAAGCAGAGAAAAAGAAGAACTCACCTTAGAGGTTCCGCTCATCACTGGAAATCAAACGTCGCCGGAATCGTCACTAAATCGAAGGTAAAAAAACCTTCGGGTTTTTTTTAGATCTAAGACGATCTAGGTATGTTTAGGTAAAAAGAAGGCCATATCTGGCCTTAGGATCGAAAAAGGGATATTTGGGAGTGATTTCTCGAATTCCGGCCACTGTTCACGGTGACCGGCGGCGGCGATCGGAGCTGGAATACGGTGGTCGGCCGGGACTGGCTTCCCTCCGATGAGGGAAGCTAGAGAGAAGGCAGAGAATTCTAGTTCTCTCGTTAGAGAGAGAACCAGAAGAGAGAAAATGAGAAGTCGGCCCTTAAGGGCCGGCCTTTTGGGGATTTTAAACCCCTCCCCAAACGACACCGTTTTGGGGAGGGGTATATCTGTAATTTCTCGCGTGGGTAAACCATACCCGCTGCCACCACAGTTTTGTAACTTTTCATTTTGGTCACTAAAATCAAATCATGAACCTTTTAATTCGGTCTTTCGATTTTATTTAGTTTATAATTTAGTCCTAGCCTGTATACTTATATATATTTAGGGTAAATACCGTATTTAGTCCTTATAACTTTAATAACTTTTATTTTGACCTCTAATTAATTAATTAAGGATTAATTACATTAGTAACACCTAGTTTTTATAATATTTCAAACTAGAGCATTTAATCTTGATATGTCATAATTTAGTCACTAATTTTAATTATAAGTTTTATTACTTTTTATATTTAATTTTATTATTTATATTATAATTTTATATGTTTAAATTATTATTTTCATAATTATTTTATTATTATCTTATTCATATAAATATATACCTATATTCTTTTAAATAATAATGTTTATTTATTTTCAATATCAAAGAAAAGGGCAGTCTTAAAACAAGTGGATGTCATATTCTGGTATTTTAAATAATTAAACATTATAAAAATTATAATTTAGTTTTATTTAAATTATTAAAATTTTAATATTTATTTTTATTTATTAATATTGAAGAAAAGAGCTGTCTTAAGGTACCTAGAAGCTCTTTTCTTATATTTTTGAATAAATAAATATCTTACTATATTAAAATAAATTTTTATTATCTTAAGAAAATGTTTTAGTCATTTATTTATTTTTTAATATCGAAGAAAAGAGCAGTCTTAAAGCACCTATAAGTCATTTTCTGATATTTCTAAATAAATAAATATTTTTATAAATATATTTAAATTAATATATTCTTAAAAAATATAGTAATAAAATTTGAAATAATATAATTAAATATATCTTTGAATTTTTAAATTTCCAATAATAGAGATAATTTATAATTAAAAAGTATCAATTTTGGGCGTTGTATGGGTGCTAATCCTTTCCTAAACGTAACCGACCACGAATCCCTTTTTATTTCTAAAAAGAATGAATTTTTGGTTAAAACGCAGATCAGTTTATCTTTTAACTGATGTTTACTTAAAAACTCTTTTAAAAAATAATTTTTTAGGTATTCGACCTACCTGACCCAAAAGGCCGATGGCGACTCCCAAATTATTTTAAACCATTTATTCACATCACTTTTCCCGCCAAGTAAAAAAAATCGTGCCCGGACGAAAACCGGTTACGACAGCTTGGTGACTCCGCTGGGGATTCTTTCAAGCTTTTAAAATCAATTATAAATTGTCTCTATTAATTATAAATTAAAAATTCATATATTTAATTTATAATTCTTTCTTTTCAAATTTTTTTATATTTTTTTATTATTTTCATAGTATTTATATATATTATTTCATTTTATTTGCAAGCATTTTATTTCATTATTTATTTATCTGTTAGAGGTTTGAACATTTCTCCTCACACACAACACTTGCGTTACATAAAGCTCTATAATTGAGTTTGTCCCTTTTAAGTGGGAGTGAAAGCGACGTCTTCGTGAGAATTTATTCTCCGTGTCAGACCTAGCAAGTAACTTTCGGGGTTTATATGCTCTATGTCTTCGTGAGAATTTATTCTCCGTGTCAGTTATAGAGAAATGTGTCCCCTCGAATTGAACTCGTTCCGCTTAAAGTTTGTAATGGACTAGGATTGAGGGTTTTGACAGCCCAAGGGGGCATCAACAAGGACAGTTCGAGTACCTTTACTCCTATAACTGAAAACCTGCATATAATAAATCCTAGAAACTCTCCCGATCTGAAACCATTTCAGTAGGTATACACAAAGGAGAAATACGCTCTATCTTTTAATTTATTTTATTTCCTTTTCTTTTTCCTGAATAAATGCATGCGAACTAGAAATCATGCGGTTAGGTTAAATTTTCCAAACAAAACATGGAACTAGAAAGCATGAGGTTAGGATTTATTATATACCATGATAAATAAATTTTTTTCTTTCAATTAGTTGGTATTAACCATTTTATTTTTTCTTATTTTCCCATGCATGTTATTTTTGCTCTAATTTGTTTATATTGTTTTCTTTTGTTTGCATTGCATGATCATGACCAAAAGGTGTTAACTGAAAAGACTGTTCATCATATTGGAAAGAAATCGTAAATGGACAAAAAGTTTTATGATCAAACAAAATATGATGCGGCCAAGGAAAGACATCCTGAGGGAACTCTGAAGATAGAGAAGAGCTATGCACCCAAAGATCGTATGCCCATTGAAGAGCAAAAGGAGATACGAGAAATAAGAGAGCAGATGTCCAAGATGATGGATAGAATATCTGTTTTGGCCAAAAGAGAAGAGATTCCTGCACAGAAAGAGAGAAAGCTTAATGAAGATAATCCTGCAATTTCATATATGCAAGGGACTTCTGATCCTAACCAATTTGAAAAGTTGCAGACAATCATCATTTGTATTCACAAATCGTCTGGAGATACTAAAGAAATGGTGACCACTGTAAAAGCTCCCAGAGATGAGAAGAAATCATGTAATCAGAAATCATCAAAGTTTGGTCTGCTCCCGACGTCTAAAACTCAGGTTCAATCCAAGTCAAAAGGTGGTTCTCATTTTGATACTATCCCCATATCATATAAAGAGTTGTATGAGAAGCTACTTGAAGCACGAGAAGTGGATCCATATTTATATAAAACCGTTCCAACCTCCGTATCCGAATTGGTATAACATCAACGTTTATTGTAAATATCATGCCGGAGCTCAAGGACATACCATTGAGAATTGTCTTGCCTTCAAACGTCGAGTCCAAAGTCTTTTGGATCAGGGAATCTTGCAGTTTATGATAAATGATCAACCTAGTTTGGTAATTGAAGATCCTGCCAGATCAACACCAAATGTATTCAAAGGTAATAACATCAGTAGGGACGTCCAGAAGGAAGAAGATTTGCTGAGATTCGAAGCCCAAATATGTCATTTGAAGGATCAAAACAAGGAATTGAGCACCAAAATGAAAAACATGCATGAAGATTTCCAAAAGATCAGTCAAGCCTTTCGAAATGCTGGCATAGGAAACACCCTAGAAGAGTGGATCACAGGGGTCACCAAGCTAAAAAATAACTGTAACATATATGAAGGTCGAGTCAAGAAGTTTTCTCATGATTTACGATTTGCAGAAGAAAGACTCAATACAACTGTCATGAAATCGAGAAAATATCAAGTCGACAATCAAATGTTGAATAGTGCTATGACCAACATGGAAGCATCATATCAGATTCATCAGCATGAAATGGATACTGAATTAAAAGCCACTATCAACAAGAACAAGACATTAAAGAAATGTTTAGATAATTATGGAAATCTTGTACGAGAACTCTGTAACCATAAAGATTCCCTTACAAGGGAAAATGAGCAGCAGTGCCTACAGCTCCGGGAATTGATACAGAATATTAAGAAAAAAAAACACTATCATGAAGGAAGCTGCTGTTCAAGCAAACAATGTGGATCATAAGCTGGTGGACTTAGCTGGCTTCACAAGAGAATTAAAGCAGATGGATAACTCCACACCTGAGTATGAGTGGAAGTTAGTTTGGCTTTTAAGTGAAATAGAGAAATTAGGAGTGAAAGCTATTCCCTACATGTAAAAGTTTTGTTTGATGTACCGAAACTTTTGTGTTCAATGAAATCTGTTCTAAGATGATCACTCTTGAGTAACACCTTTTCATACATGCATTTACATTTTTGTATTTGTGCATTTCCATTTTGTATTCTTACTTTTTACATCTTTGTATTACACAGTTTGCATTCTTATTTTTGCATTTATGCATTTTCGCATTTACGTTACATTTTTTTAGTATTGTTATATACATTAATTATAAAAACATGTAAATAATTAATGAAAGGTTTTGTAACAGTAAAACCAAGATCATTCATTCATATTACTTTACTATCATCATGAAAACAATGGAGCAATCTTATAAGGGACTACAAGACCAGTGGCCAGAACAATTG